ATTTTTTTATTGTTTTAGTTAAAGAGAACCCCCAGACTGAATACATTCCAGGCCTCACAGATCAGTATTTGCCCTTGATTCCATCTATTCCCTACTAATTAAACCAATCCTCTTCTTTGTCTGTGATTAGTTTAGAGGTGGACAGTCTCTGCCCATTGGCTGTGAACCAGGAAGCAGGTAGCCCTCATTGCTGGCAGTTATCTTGATGGACGCCAACCCAAGAGGCAGGCAGAACTGAGAGGACTTTGGAGCCTGAGGGAACAGTGCTTGAAACCTGATCTATCTTTGGACGCACAATATAGAAGTTCTCTAGTGTTTATAATATCAGAATTTTCACAAGCAAAGCTCATTCTTATATTTAGTTGAATAGTTGAAATTATAAAGCTAGGTTAAAATGCAAACAAATGTAGAAAAATAGTGCTCATTTTTCTAAAAGACTTTCCGTTGGTATAGAAACCATTCTAATCATTACATCTCTGATAGTTTATAACATTGAAGCTATAAGTAAGTATCAATCTGGATGTTTTAAGGTACTACTTTATTAAATGTTGCTAATTTATTTTAAAACTGCTAATTTATTCAATGTGAAAATATAGAAGACTAGGAATAAGAAAAAATGAATTCATGTATACCTCTATAAATTTTATTTTGATGTACTTCCTTCTGATCATTTTTCTATGTATATGTTTTATTTGAAAAAATATTTATCGTACTTTATATACAATTTTATCTTCTCCTTTTTTTTCTGTTATTCCCTGTAGTTTAGCACAGAAGGGCCTCCATGTTCACAAATTCAGGGGGCTTTTTCACATTGTAGTCTATATGAACGATGTCCACTGGAGTTGTGCAGTCAGTAGCCTCTGTGACTGTATGAGGCAGCCATTTACATCTGGGCATCTGAGTCTTCATGTTTACCTAGAGCATCTTATGGTACCATCCTAACTACAGATTTGGGAATAAAAGGCAGGGCAAACCTTTCCTGGCTGCCTTTCAGTACCACCATATAAATTTAATATTCAGCCTTTGTGCCTTTTTCTCAGGCTGGCTTTGTCTGTAGCTATGTCCCACAGCTCTCCTCTTACAAGGTTACATCTATGCTTTTTCTTCACCTTGGAATAATCTGCTGACTCCAGTGGATGAAAAAAAGTGTTAAGTAAATTAACCTCATGGCTGTTTTAATGATCGCATTTCATGGTTATATCATTTTGGATGGTTCCAATTTGACTTCCTTCTCTCAGTTTGTTTGGATTGATTTTTCTATCTGCTCATTTTGAGAAATCTATACTGTTATTATCCTTGCCTTATCTTGAGAAATAGTTAATCTTCATGATTCTATTTTCTTTTTGTCAAAAAATGAAATATTACTCATAACTCTATAAAAGTACCTAAATAATGGTGAAAAGCCAAATTACGTAACCAATTGTAATGGTAAAATATCCTATTTCTTTAATAGTGAAAATACTAACTTACTGGTAACTGCAGACATATTTTTACACTTAATTGATAATTTTTAGTTCTCTGATAGCTCCTGCCAATTCCTCTTACACAGATATTTTGCCAATATAGGATGTGGGTAGATGAGGGATTACTCAGAAAAACGGAACCTCATTCTTGGCTGATAGGATGATGAACTGTGTGATAAAATGCATAACATTTTCCTCCACCCTTGGTTCACAAAACTTTTAGTTTTCTAACTTTTATTTTATGCAAACAGGGTTGGCTGCTCAAACCAAGCTTTTGAGAGAGTACAGCAAACAAAGCAATTTCTTAAAGGTTAAGCCCTTCCTCTATAAAAGGAAAGAAAGGGTGAGAATTAAAAGGGAGAGAGGTAGAAAGGGAAGGCTAGGTTGTTAGAAAAAGAGGCAAGAGAGGCAAGAGAGGGGTGAAGGAGGAGGAACAGGAGTGAGAGAAGCAAAATAATCTGGTCAATTATTTTGCCTAAAAGTTTGAGAAATATCTGCTTGAATTGATGTAGGAAATTAAGCAGTTTGATCTTTGTTCTAATATTTGTCTTGCAATAAGATCATCTTATTTATCAAATGTTATGTAGAGAAAGAGGAGATACTGGTTTTTTTGAGACTCTGGAGAACCTAGACACCTGTCTAAATTATATGAAAGTTCTGTAAAGTTATTAGCATATATATGTATATATCCACACACACACACATATATATATTTTTGAGACGAAGTTTTGCTCTTGTTGCCCAGGCTGGAGTGCAGTGGCACAATCTCAGCTCACTGCAACCTCTGCCTCCCAGGTTCAAGTGATTCTCCTGCCTCAGCCTCCCAAGTAGCTGGGATTACAGGCATGTGCTACCACGCCCAGCTAATTTTTGTATTTTTAGTAGAGATGGGGTTTCATCGTGTTAATCAGGCTGATCTCGAACTCCTGACCTCAGGTAATCCACCGGCCTCGGCTTCCCAAACAAATATTTTTATAAAACACATTCTATAGTATAAATACTCTGTGGAGGGTGCCACCAAAGGTGATATTAAACCTTTCTTTTCTTTAAGACAGAGTCTCACTCTGATGCCCAGGCTGGAGCACAGTGGCACAATCTCGGCTCACTGCAGCCTTGACCTTCCCTGGGCTCAGGTGATCCTCTCACTTCAGCCTCCTGAGTAGCTGGGACGACAGGCGCACGCCACCATGCATGCCACCATAGACTGGCTAGTTTTTCATGCCTGGCTAATTCGTTGTTGTTATTGTTGTTGTATTTTTTTGTAGAGAGGAAGTTCCACCATTTGCCCAGGCTAGTCTTGAACACCTGGGCTCAAGCAATCTGTCCACCATGGCCTCCCAAAATGTTAGGATTATAGGCACGAACCACTGTACTTGGCCTTAAAAAAAAAAAAAAAAAAGGCAGAGAGTCACTGTGTCTCCCAGGTTGATCTCTAATTGCTGGGTTCAAGCAATTCTCCCACCTCAGCCTCCGGAGTAGCTGGGACTACAGGTTCACACCACCATGCCAAGCCAATGCTATTTTCAAACAGCTCAATGGGAGCAGAAAATACATTATGTGTGCTCAAGTTATCTGCACCATGGCCCTCTGTGTTACTAGTGTGTTTGAAATTTTGTGCATCAGTAAGAATTTCAGTGACTCACTAGGCTTTATGAACCAATATATGTAGGAGTGGGTTACCCAGCAACCACTCCATGGCTTTAAGATGAGAAGGTAGGGGAAGTGAGGAAGTCACACTTACCTGTCTGCTGCCTGCCTTCCTTCTCCCACAGCCATGCTCTTGGCTGGGGAGAAAGGGTGGATGTAGAGCCTCCAAGAGCTGCAGTACTATTAAAAATCCATTGGGTTTCTTTCATAAACACATAGATGCTTTTCTAAATCCAGCAGAAATCTGACTCCCTGACCTGATCGTTAGACGTGTGGTCAGAATCCCAGCACATGAACTGGCGCTGCTTCTGGGAATTATGAGTCAGCCTTTCATGTTCTTCCTGGTGTTGAAGCAAGTCTCTGCAGAGGAGAAAGAGCAATCTGTCAGGTGAGCTCATCACTGCTATCGTCACTGTCTAAGCTCTGACTTCCCAAGAGACCATGCAATGTATGTGAAAGAGCCCTTTTCGAATTCCAGAAACATCACTGTCTTGTTATGTGACCTTGAACATGGTTACTTAAGTTCTCAGAGCCTCAGTTTTCTTGGTGAAAATGGAAGAGTTGTCACCGAAACTTAAACAGTTAATGTATGGGAAGTGTCATGCAGATCTAGAAAAGTGAAAATATTATTTTATAATACTGTGGACACAGTATAAAGCACATTAGATATTATTTATGCCCTTTACATTTTCAAAAGTTTTTGAGATATCTACAGTATAAGGAGAGGAGAAAGGAAAGACCTATCAAACAGTAGATGACTATTTGTTAGGTCACTATTCACTCAGCACTTACTGGTCAATATTCTGTGCAAGGTCTGTGGGTTACTGTGGTGATACGAGAATCTGTAAGATATATGGTGTGTCTTTAAAGAGTTTATAAATCTAGGAGGAAAGATTGAACATAGACACAAGCAATTCAGAAGAGAACATGTGCTCTGTGTAAATAAAATGAGCAAAAAAAGTAACTGCTATCGCACTTCAAAGCAGACTAATTCTGAGGAAGACTCACTGTAGAAGAAACGCAATCCAAGCCAGTTTCAACATGTGTTGAGTATCCATTATGAGGACTGCTCAGGTATTTGTATATTCAATAAGGACTCTCAGACAAAAGAAACTGCCTGAGTCAAGACAGGAAGGTAGAAATACATATGTAAGGTGCAGCAGGGAACAACAATAAGCTCACCTGGAAGCAGTGCCCTAATAAAGAAAGATAAACTTGAAATCATTTTGAAGAAGTGCATAACATCATGGATGCCCTTACATATAAATACAACATTTGGTCTTTTGTCCTGCAGATAGTGCAAGTAATGCAACCTATGGAAGCCCTTAAGAAGAAAAAATCTTTTTTTATTTTTATTTTTATTTTTTTTGAGATGGAGTCTCGCTCTGTTGCCAGGCTGGAGTGCAG